CAACTTCTTTTGCAATTACCTTTTGAGGCTTTCCCTCCTTATGGAGGGTGTCAGTGATGGTGTCAGGTCAGCAGTCTTTCCCATGATTGTGATTCCTACTGAACCAGACTGAGAGACCATTGAAAGGCTCAGGAACCCTTTGCAGGTGTTATGGCTTAATGAGCTGATTAGAGTGGGACACTTTGAGCCGAGAATATTCCACCTTTTCACAATATTCTCATTTTCTGAGATTGTGGATTTGGGGATTTCATGAGCTGTAAGCCATAATCATCACAATGATGACAAATCACGGCTTGAACTATCTTGCTTCGCATGTAATGGGTCTCTCTCATATATTAGTTTCACCTTTTAAGTTGCTGCACTGAAATAAATGAACTTTTGCACCATATTCTAATTTTTCGAGTTTCACCTGTATATACTGTAGGTGGTCAGTGTAGTGTTCCCTTACATTAATGGTCTTTAAAGTGTCCCATACATTGGTGGTCAGTGGATAAAAGCTCCTATGGATCAGTGGTCGACGGGAGAAGGTCCTCCTTACATTGGTGATCATTGGGAGATGGACCTTCTTACACTGGTAGTCAATGGGAAGAATTCTCCCCTTTCAAATATCTTAAATAAGCATTGGTGTCAGGGGAAACATACAGTTTCTGAAAGTCAGAAGTTGCTCATTGTTCAAGGAACCCCTAGCAACCTCTAGAGAGCAGGGGTCTTAAAGGGCCTGTTGACTGTCCTTCAGACTTTTGGGGGGCTTGACTGTGGCCAGAGTGGGAGAAATAGTGCTCCATCTCTGGTATTAGGGGAAGGAATAGTTCCCCATTGTTAGTTTCAGTGGTAGGAATAGTGCCCCATCATTGGTGTCATTGGTAGGAATAGTATCCCATCGTTAGTATCAGTGGGATGAATAGTGTCCCATCATTGGTGTCAATGACAGGAATTATTGGTGTCAGTGGAAGGAATAGTTCCCCATTGTTAGTTTCAGTGATAGGAATGGTGCCCCATCATTGGTGTCATCGGTAGGAATAGTGCCCCATCATTGGTGTCAGTGGGAGGAATAGTGCCCCATCATTGGTGTCATCGGTAGGAATAGTATCCCATCGCTAGTATCAGTGGGATGAATAGTGTCCCATCATTGGTGTCAATGACAGGAATTATTGGTGTCAGTGGAAAGAATAGTTCCCCATTGTTAGTTTCAGTGGTAGGAATAGTGCCCCATCATTGGTGTCATCAGTAGGAATAGTATACCATCGTTAGTATCAGTGAAATGAATAGTGTCCCATCATTGGTGTCAATGACAGGAATTATTGGTGTCAGTGGAAGGAATAGTTCCCCATTGTTAGTTTCAGTGGTAGGAATGGTGCCCCATCATTGGTGTCATCGGTAGGAATAGTATACCATCGTTAGTATCAGTGGGATGAATAGTATCCCATCATTGGTGTCAGTGACAGGAATTATTGGTGTCAGTGGAAGGAATAGTTTCCCATTGTTGGTTTCAGTGGTAGGAATGGTGCCCCATCATTGGTGTCATCGGTAGGAATAGTGCCCCATCATTGGTGTCAGTGGTAGGAATGGTGCCCCATCATGGTGTCATCGGTAAGAATAGTATACCATCGTTAGTATCAGTGGGATGAATAGTGTCCCATCATTTGTGTCAGTGACAGGAATTATTGGTGTCAGTGGACGGAATAGATCCCCATTGTTGGTTTCAGTGGTAGGAATGGTGCCCCATCATTGGTGTCATCGGTAGGAATAGTATACCATCGTTAGTATCAGTGGGATGAATATAGTGTCCCATCATTGGTGTCAGTGACAGGAACTATTGGTGTCAGTGAATGAAATAGTGGGATTCGCAGGAACAGTGACCCATTAATGGTGTCAGTGGGAAGAATAATTCCCCAAGGGTCAGGTAAAGGCAAGCAAAGGGGTGCATCCTGCCTCCAGGCTGCAGTTTGGAGACCTCTGCTCTAGAGGAACCTTGGTTGAGAATAGAGCTCTAACCCATCCCCACTATATCCAAAAATGGAAAAACAAATCTGGAACTCCACTTTCCATATATCTAAAGCCAACTTTTTCTTTGAGTTCTGGATATATTAGGTCAGTTTATGCTGCAGGTCGATGAGTGTAGGTTTTAAGCCAAAGCCAACGATAAATGTGTCCTCACGGCTGAATTCTTCTATCTGCTTCCAGCTTCATTGGTTATACGCAGCGCGAAATCGTGGAAAAAAAGCGCGGAGAGCCCTTCCTCCGCCCGCAGCCTGTGAGGGAGTTCTCTAACATTTAAATATCACAGAATTAATATTAAAATATGCTTATATAGGTTTGAGAGATTCGCAGCAGAATGGGGAAGTGATTTATGGATCTTCAAGCCGGATGGCTGTAGGTTTAAATCATGCGGGACATTTCTGGAGAGGATAAATCTGTCAAGCGTTGATGCAATTAAATTGGAGTTGTTCCACCTTTTCCAGCGCAGTAGAAAAACTCGGCAATGTCAGGCGGTTGGGGAAACTCAAGTTCTCGCTGTTCGGCCTGGTGTCCTGGGGTAGAGGGTGTAGGCTATTGGTGGGGAGTCAATGGAACCCATTGGAGCAGAAATGTGGGTTCAAAGCCGATTCCTCCAGGACTGAACTGTATTGTAACTGTAATGTCTGCCCTCATATTGTAATATGCTGAGCAAACTGTTGTCGTGATATAAATCCTGTATAATAATAATATTAGTTGACATGATTTTGCTGGTACAGTCTTCAGGTCGGGGGGGATGTCACCTTCATTCTTTCTTCCCATTTGGTACTCACTAACCAAAAAGGAGCATCTTTACCAGGGTTGGACTGACAACTCATAGGCCCCCCCGGGCAATAGGGGATCATGGGGCCCCTGTGTCCTTGCCCAAACTCAAAAAAGTCTATGAAAAGGTATCAGGGGCATCTCAAAGGGCCCCCTACTGACCCCAGGCCCTCGGGCAGTGCCTGAGTTTCCAAATGGTCAGTCCGCCCCTGATCTTTACCCACATGGAAGAAAGATATATTTTAAAAATATTCTCCCCAAATATATTGACATATATATTCGTAATAATACAATTTTGGCCGTATTCAATACATTTCAAAATTTCAATATTTCAATACATACATATATATATACATACGGCATGTTGAACTGCGTTTTTTATATATTGCAAAATATATGAAAACTATTCTTAAAAATATATATTTATTTAAATATATTCTTCAGATTTTTTTTTAACATATAAAAAAGTCATTTTAACATATATTTTTACATATATTTGTAAATGCATTCCAAAAATGTAGATTAAATGTATTTTTGAAGACATACAGTATATATGAAAATGTATTTGTAAAAATATTTTTCATATATTTTGTAATAAAAACACATTTCAACATACATATATATATATATATACATACTGCATGTTGAAATGTGTTTTTTTTTATATATTGCAAACTATATGAAAAATATTTTAAAAAATATATTTTTTGAAAATATATTCTTCACATTTTTTTTAACACATAAAAAAGTCATTTTAATATATATTTTTACATATATTTGTAAAAGCATTCAAAAAATGTAGATTAAATGCATTTTTAAAGACATACAGTAATTTGAAAATGTATTTTTAAAAATATTATTATTTTTAAAATATTTCAACATACAGTATTTATTTATTTCAGGTACTTATATAGCGCCATCCATTTATGCAGCGCTTTACGCATGTATATATTGTGGGATGAATAGTGTCCCATCATTGGTGTCAATGACAGGAATTATTGGTGTCAGTGGAAGGAATAGTTCCCCATTGTTAGTTTCAGTGATAGGAATGGTGCCCCATCATTGGTGTCATCGGTAGGAATAGTATCCCATCGTTAGTATCAGTGGGATGAATAGTGTCCCATCATTGGTGTCAATGACAGGAATTATTGGTGTCAGTGGAAGGAATAGTTCCCCATTGTTAGTTTCAGTGGTAAGAATAGTGCCCCATCATTGGTGTCATCGGTAGGAATAGTGCCCCATCATTGGTGTCAGTGGGAGGAATAGTGCCCCATCATTGGTGTCAGTGGGAGGAATAGTGCCCCATCATTGCTGCCAGTGGGAGGAAAGGTGCCCCATTGTTGGTGTCAGTGGGAGGAATGGCACCCCATCATTGGTGTCAGTGGGAGGAATGGTGCTCCGTCATTGGTGTCAGTGGGAGGAATAGTACCCCATCATTGGTGTCAGTGGGAGGAATACTGCCCCATCATTGGTATCAGTGGGAGGAATAGTGCCCCATCATTGGTGTCAGGGGAAGGAATAGTACCCCATCATTGGTGTCAGGGGAAGGAATAGTGCCCATTCATTGGTATTAGTGGGAGGAATAGTGCCCCATCATTGGTGTCAGTGGGAGGAATAGTGCCCCATCATTGGTATCAGTGGGAGGAATAGTGTCCCATCATTGGTGTCAGTGGGAGGAATAGTGCCCCATCATTGGTATTGTGGTATTAGTGGGAGGAATAGTGCCCCATCATTGGTATTAGTGGGAGTAATAGTGCCCCATCATTGGTATCAGGGGGAGGAATAGTGCCCCATCATTGGTGTCAGTGGGAGGAATAGTGCCCCATCATTGGTGTCAGTGGGAGGAATAGTGCTCCATCATTGGTATCAGTGGGAAGAATAGTGCCCCATCATTGGTGTCAGTGGGAAGAATAGTGCCCCATCATTGGTGTGAGTGAGAGGAATAGTGCCCCATCATTGGTGTGAGTGAGAGGAATAGTGCCCCATCATTGGTATCAGTGGGAAGAATAGTGCCCCATCATTGGTGTCAGTTGGAAGAATAGTGCCCCATCATTGGTGTCAGTTGGAAGAATAGTGCCCCATCATTAGGGTGAGTGAGAGGAATAGTACTAATAGTAGTATTGTACACCCCTAAGCCCTGCACTCTGTACACAGCACACCTCTGAACTCTGCCCAACACATACTCCTGAACCCTGCACAACACACACACTCCTGAACCCTGCACAACACACGCTCCTGAAACCTGCACAACACACGCTCCTGAATCCTGCACAACACACGCTCCTGAACCCTGCACAACACACCCTCCTGAACCCTGCACAACACACGCTCCTGAACCCTGCACAACACACGCTCCTGAACCCTGCACAACACACGCTCCTGAACCCTGCACAACACACGCTCCTGAACCCTGCACAACACACGCTCCTGAACCCTGCACAACACACGCTCCTGAACCCTGCACAGCACATACTCCTGAACCCTGCACTCTGTACATAGTGGTACTCCTGAACTCTGTATACATAGTCTTACAGACACAACCAGCCCTTTGAAGGCAACCAAATGCTGATGCGACCCGTGATGAAATTGAGTTTGATATCCCTGAACTAGAGGATAATCATTACCCAACAGAGACCTGAAGAGTACACCCCATCACCAACAGGGATCTGTACGGTTACTTGGAGCAACATCTTTATCTTGAGGAGAGCCTGGGATTAAGAATCCATCCAATATCTGTGTACCCAGAGTCTCTCGACCATCTATCCGGGGGCTGTCATTTTTGGTACTTTGGATCCATATTAGGAGACCAGGAAGTCTGATTCATAAGAACTTGCTGCTGGTTGTCAACATCTATTTATTTATTTATTTAAGGTACTTATATAGCGCCATCAATTTACGCAGCATTTTACATATATATTGTACATTCACATCAGTCCCTAACCCAGAAGGGGCGTACAATCTACGGTCCCTAACCCTGAAGGGGTGTACAATCTAAGGTCCCTAACCCTGAAGGGGCGTACAATCTATGGTCCCTAACTCACATTCATACATACACATACTAGGGCCAATTTAGACAGAAGCCAATTCACCTACCAGCATGTCTTTGGAGTGTGGGAGAAAACCTGAGTACCCAGAGGAAACCCACACAGGCACAGGGAGAACATACAAACTCCAGGCAGGTGGTGCCGTGGTTGGGATTTGAACCAACGACCCGAGCACTGCCAGGCGAAAGTGCTAACCACCTAGCCACTGTGCTGCCCAACATCTATGATTACAAAGCACTTTTCGACCACCTTCACCAACGTCAGTAATTTCTGGTGAGTGAGAAATGTACTTATTGTTTACACACAGTGAAAAGAGAAAACGTTTTACCTACTACATTTCCATGGGACTGTCACTCAATATATGTTCACTATTTATTATATTCTGTTTGGGACTGTAACGGAACCGGACCCAGACCGCACTTGGGTATTTCCGTTATACTGCAGCTTCCCTGTCCGAACACAAATCCCCGGACACCACCGCTGATCATGCAGGAAATAGACACCACCAGACTCTTCTTAAGACAGGAAGTCAACTCCTTTATTTTTACACAAACACAAGATATATACACAGGGCGAGGAAATACAACCAGGAACAGGAAACACATCAGCAGCCCGCCCCATCAGTGGGAAGGGCTACAGGAAACACCCCCCCACCAAACCAAGACACAGAACAATGGGATGCAGCACATGGCAGAGAACAATGGACAACCACATGGCAGGCACAGGGTGGATTAAACATAATGAAGGGAACATGAGCTGACACAGGGGTCCCCCCCACCCCCAAAAGTCACTCCCGTCACAAGGACTATTAATTATTTTAAGTTGCTGATAGAAAATTCTATTTTTTTCATCTGATCAGTTAAGCCTACCTATTCATGAATGTTACTATTTGGGGGCAGCTGTCATTGCTGCCGGCTTAGTGCTGGCATTACTCACTAGTGTTTGATCCATTCACACATTTAGGAGCCACAATATTGCTTTCTTCACAAATTTACTAATTTATTCTGGCCATTGAAATTAATTAACGCTCAAGTGCTAAGTGCGCCTAGCATTAACGCGCGTTTACACGCGTCATGTGTTTCTTCTGACAAAACGCTGCTGCTCCTAGATGCACTGGCAGTTGAGTTTTTTTTTTACAGCTCCTAAAAGCCCCCCCCGCCGCTAAAATCTAGAACTGTCAAACCAGCATAGAAGCAGACAGCCAGGAGCATTCGTCGGGAGCGGAGCCTTTTGTTCTTTAATTCTTTTTTCGGGTCGGCGGCAGCAACGGAGATCGCGATTGACAGATCTGCTGCGGGGGACATTCTTTTAGTTTTTTCTTTTAATAAAGGACTTGTCTAAGATGGTGTCCTGTCTTTATTTCACACTACACTTTTTGTTTTTTGTGAATGAGTAGCGGGACCATGTACCTCATACTCATTCATATAGGGGGGAGGGTGGGATCTAGGGGCCCCCTTGCTAAAGGAGGGCTTCCAGATTCTGATAAGTCCCCCCGCATACCCCCACAACCACAGCCCAGGGTTGTGGGGAAGAGGACCTTGTCCCCATCAACATGGGGACAAGGTGCTTTGGGGAGGGAGCTTCCCCTACTCCAAAGCACCCCCCCATGTTGAGGGCATGTGGCCTGGTATGGTTCAGGAGGGGGGGAGGCTCGTTTCTCCCCCCCCCCTTGCTGACCTGCCAGGCTGCATGCTCGGATAAGGGTCTGGTATGGTTTTTGGGGGGGAACCCCACGCCATTTTTTTAAAAATTTTGGCATGGAGCTTCCCCTCAAAATCCATACCAGACCTGCAGGGCTTGGTATGGATGGGAGGGGGAACTCCATGCCATTTTTTTTATTATTTTTAAATTGCCGGCAATTCTTTCTTTTACATTCAGCTGTCAATGGGGAACCCCACTGACAGCTGAAACATTACTGCATGGTTTTCACTACTAGAATTTACTATTTTGTTACTATTTTTCAGTATATTCTAGACATTTGGGAGGGTCTCCTGAGGTTTTTTAAAAAGGCTTCTAAACGCAAACATGCCTAAACGCACATAAACGTGGTAGGTAAACTCGGCTAAACTGACGTTTTTAACTTACGTTTTCTAGCAGAGAGTTTCCAGCGGTCAGAAGAGTTTTTCAAATGCCCCGTGTACATGAGCCCTAAAAGTCTGTGTGCATGGACACGTAGCAATTCCTTCTTTTACTCAGCTGATAACACGGAGGGGCCTTTGGAAGCTGTAATAGATAAATCGCCTGATGCCCCTAAAAGTAGCTGCAAAAACGCCTTGTGTGCACGAGGCCTAAGATGTAGGAGAGAAGTGTCAGAATAGGCTTGGGGCTGAAGTGGTTCATTTGGCCCTTTCCTGACCTGCCTGGCTGCATGTTCGGATAAGGGTCTGGTATGGATTTTGGGGGGGAACCCTACGCCATTTAAAAAAATTTTTAGCGTGGGGCTTCCCCTCAAAATCAATACCAGACCCGTAGGGCTTGGTATGGATGGGAGGGGAGACCCCACGCCGTAGGATAAAAGTGTCAGAACAGGCTTGGGGCTGAACTGGTTCATTCGGCACTGATGGCTCAGTATTTGTGGGGTAGAATAGAGCAGCATTGGTACTTTTACATGGGAACCAAGAGATTGTCCCCCTTTCCTGACCTGCTCGGATAAGGGTCTGGTATGGATTTTGGGGGGGAACCCCACGCCATTTTTTTTTTTTAAATTTTGGCGCAGGGCTTCCCCTAAAAATCCATATTAGACTTGTAGGGCTTGGTATGGATGGGAGGGGGGACCCCATGCCTTAGGAGAGAATTGTCAGAATAGGCTTGGGGCTGAAGTGGTTCATTCGGCACTGATGGCCCAGTATTTGTGGGGTAGGATGGAGCAGCCTTGGTGCTTTTACATGGGAACCAAGAGATTGTCCCCATCGCTGTTGTGACTTTAGATATATCTTCTCACCTTTGCTCCTGAGGCTCGTGGGAAGCAAAGAGTAGGCAATTATATGCAGCTGCACGTGCTGACAAAAAAGTGAAGCCATTGCTTTGCCTTTAACAGGTTCCCTTTAAGCTTCTTATTTACGAATCCAGCTCAGGGCGCTTGGACCATTCTACGATTAAACTACAAACACGTCCCTCCCAAATTGGTCCTGGCGAAGAGTAGAAATAACTTGTAATAAAGATGGAATTTTGGAGGAGAGCCCCCGCACAGTAGTACAGAAGCGCGGGACGGCGTGTTGTTTTACTGATAAACATCTTGGCAGATACATGGGAGGAGGAAGCAGAATTGCTGAGGCAGATAACTCGGGGAAATTGAGTTGTTCTTGAAGAGACACAAAACATTGGCCTTATTTATAACTCTCTGAGGGAAGGTCTGTCTAGGGCAACTCGCAGCTAAGAATCACATTCCAACTTCTACCTTCCAAGTGTTACTTTTTTTAAGCTATGGACCCAGCTAAGGGGAATCGGGGAACCTGGGTGAAGAAATCGGGTCTTTAGCTAGGAAGGGGTGTCAAAATGGCGGCCCTCCAGCTGTTGCAAAACTACAAGTCCCATCATGCCTCTGCCTTTGGGGGCCATGCTTGTAACTGTAAATCTTGCAATGCCTCATGGGACTTGTAGTCTGGCAACAGCTGGATGGCCACCAGTTTGACACTCTTGACTGAAGTCTTACTTCAGCTTTCATTAATGATCTCTTGTCTTTGAATGGTATTCAGGAAACTGGTTGGATTTGATCGCTTTCTAGTTCCCAGCAACTAAATGGGGAAAATTGGGCTAACCATTGTATGAAATATATGAAAAAATCTCCTGCGCTCAAAGGACCGGATATGACATATGTGGAAAAATCTTCATAGACCTTAGCATTCAAACCAATACGGCATTGGTCCATTATGCTCAATCCGTAGATCTGATTAATTCTACGGGGATTGTTGAAGGGGGTGTTACCAAGTGTTACCGCACTGGGTGACACCAACCTAGGGACGCCCCTGTGTGGGATTATAACAAAGTGGAAGGAACTGGGAACAACATCAACTCAGCCACCACGTGGTAGGCCACGAAACATGACAGAGCGGGGTCAGCGCATGCTGAGGTGCACAGTGCGCAGAAGTCGCCAACTATCTGCAGAGTCAATAGCTAAAGACCTCCAAACTTGGTGTGGCCTTCAGATGAGCCCAACAACAGTGCGTAGAGAGCTTCATGGAATGGGTTTCCATGGCCGAGCAGCTGCATCCAAGCCTTACATCACCAAGTGCAATGCAAAGCGTCGGATGCCGTGGTATATCAGAATAGTGTCTGGTTACAGCAGATAGTGTCATCAGGTGCTGGGTCCCTCTTAGGTACAACCCTACTGCAGTGATGTTGGAGGTGAGTCAGTACCCACATATAAGGAGCACAAACATACTTGGGGCATGGAAGCTCAACACCCCACAGCTATGAGGATGTAACCAACACGTGTAGGTCCTGGATAGGGTAGGTGGCTGAGAGGAGAAGACCTGCACCCATGAAGAGCTGGCTGCAGACTTTCTGTC